TTCTCCCTCTGACCCTCCTCCCTCTCATGCTCTCTGTCTCTCATTCTCTCTCTCTCAAATAAATAAATAAAATCTTAAAAAAAAAAAAAAACGTGTACCTCTCCAAAAGCATTTATTGCTAATATTCCACTAACATTAGAACACATTGGGCTCAAATAAAAACCACCCAAATGGGAAAAAAAAAGTTACTTGTTTTCTGAAATAGACTGACCTTATTTCAAGGGTAAACCTAAGTGGTGTTAGGAAGCCATCCCACATGCTGCATGTCTATTGGAAAATAGGATCTCCAAACTTCTCCAACCAGATGTATGACACTGATACCATCCAAATCAGTCGTCTCATCCTACTTATTAAGGGCACAACAAAATGGATAACTTTTACCAAAAACACTCTCTTGTTCTACATTACTTTTTTTTTTTTTTAAGTAGACTCCACACCCAGCATGGAGCCCAACATGAGGCTCAAAACAGGCGCCCCTGTTCTACATTGCTTTCAATGGCAAAATCAGTATATTTTACAGGAGAAAAAAAAAAAAACACTTTCCAAACTCCAGTTTGGAATGGGCTCATGGGCACAGGGGTGAGGTAGGTGTGGAGGAAAGGGGCATCAGTGATGTGTGACTCACTCAAACTCCCCTCAGAGAAGAGAGCCTCAAACCAGCCACTGAAATAGTGGTCATGGTCCCCAGTTGCAACACTGATCTTTCTAATGCCCAGCCCCTGAAGATGGTCAAGGCCCGGGTGGGTTCCCAATGTCTGGGGATGTTGCCAAGGGATGGAAGAAACGAATGTACAAATTATCTGCAGCAGAGAAAGTTCCCATTCCTGCCCTGTTAAGTTATTACAGGGTCTTCAACAACAGGATGTCTTTGGTGGGATGGGTAGGGTGGGGAGCCACAGAGGTGTTGATAGGAGATTATCAGGATTTGGGCATTCACATCTGTGCATTATAAATGAGCTTACATTCCAAATCATTAAGAAGACACTCAAATATTAACTCAAAGTTAATACACAGGGGAGTATTCTCTTAGTATTTTCTAGATTTTCACCCAAAAGCTTCATAAAGAAAAAGTTTTCATAAAAAAAGAGGACAGGGGCACCTGGGTGGCTCAGTCAGTTAAGCATCCAACTTTTTGTTTCGGCTCAGCTGGTGATCTCGAAGTCGTGGGATTGAGCCCCACATGAGGCTCTGTGCTCAGCATGGAGTCTGCTTCAGATTCTCCCACTCACTGTCTGTCTCTCAAGTAAATAAATAAAAACAGAAATAAATAAACAAAAAAGAGGACAAAATGTTTCACAGAGATGGGTAGAAGGAACATTGCAGATAGAGCTTGTAATCTCAGCTCTGGAATGGAGTGTTGGAAAAGCTGAGATGGCATCTTCTGTTGTCTCCTTACACCATTCTAAATCCCTTCTAACACAGGAAGAGGATGGATGGATGGATGGTGGATGGATCATCAGTCAGACCAACTCAAGAAAAGAAGGAAGAACATGGGGAAGAATGTTTCCCACTTCTCACCATCAGTTCCTTAAACACTGCAATGGGAAAGTAACCCATGACCTAGCTTCAAAGAATCTGTAAGAACTGACATATTGGGGGTCTACTCTGAAACTCAAATGGCTCACATGGCATTCAGGCTTCATTAAAACAGATTGTAAAGCACTGATGGGTTTTTCATTCTATTGCATTTTGCTATACTAAATTTTTTAGCTGGAAATCATTGAGCCATGGTAGAGCTTTTTAAAACTGAATATGCTTGTGTGTGTTTACGATGCAATTTGTTTTGCAATATCATCAGTAAGAAGAGTAAACTTTCCATATTCCATGTGCCTTCAGCCAAGTTCGAATGGTCAAACCCCTATCCCCACCTCCCCCACCCCCACTCTAAAGCAGGAGAAGTAAATCCAGATCCACATTGCCCATGAGAGTTTCTTACCTGTGTATATTCCTTGGAAAGCTTTTCAGTCTCAGGCTCTTCTGTTCACAGAGCAGTTAGACCACTGGTGGCCCCTGGAGGGGCTTCTGGACTAGCCTGCTCAAGAAGCCCGGCCCCCAGGTCTTCTCCTCCCCTTTTGGCTCAGTTCTGCGAACCGAACCGAATTCCTTAAAGAGCAACCTTGCATCTTGCGCATGTGAGTGACATCCAGGTCACACCCCCTTTCCTGTAGCCCTTCACCGGATCCCTTTTTAAAAGGGAAATTATATTTCTCATTGAGACTGAAGGAGGCTGTCAGACCTTGGAGAAAACTAGCAGTTCTCAGGAAGGCCATGGAGACTTCTGGAAGATCAGGTGTCTAGGCAAGGGGAAGAAGGAAGCTTTGCCCTTTCAAACCTTTTCTTGCAGCCATCACTGCTTAGAATTAAAGGGCAGAAGGCTGGTGATCTATCTAAGCAGAGCATATTTTTAGATAGTTGTTGAGAAGGGCAGGATGAGCTGAGAACCTTGAAACTGCCCAGTGACCTTGGCTTCTACGGACTTAGAGCTAACATTTACATGCTGCTTTTGTCTGTTTTTCCCTTCAGGCAACATCACTGGCTGGGTACGTGGTCCATGCCCGGTGCTTGACATCCACCTTCCACAACCCAGAGAGGTGGAGATCACTATCCCCACTTCCCACCTCAGGACACACGTGATAAAGTGTCAGAATTGGAACTCAAAGATATCAACTCTCATTCTTAGGCTCAACTTGCTTTAATCACTGAATATTTGTGGAGCAGCCCATTGTGCCTTAAGTTGTGCTAGACAAGTCATGACACTGACATAGAAGTTGACATGGGAGCTTCCTTGGGTATAAGCAGTGACACTTCCATGAGCACCAGTCAACCGCGCTACATGGAGGGGCAGGAGGGAGCTGAAAAAAATAGAGATTGGTCCAAAAGTTAAGTTTGGATTTGGTCAGATCTTCTGGAATCTTAAGAACTAGATACTACATAGAAAGTGCCCTCTGGGACACCTGGCTCGCTCAGTCACAAGAGCATGCGACTCTGGATCTTGGGGTTGTGGGTTTGATCCCCACGTTGAGGGCAGAGTTGACTTAAAAAAAAAATTAAATTAATCAATAATTTTTTTAAGTGCCTTTTAAACTGTAAAGTGCTGTACCAATGTTAACAATGCTTAATTCTACTGGTATAGTTACCATGAAGACTATGATTAACCTGGATAATGGTCACTCGAGCTAAATATATATTACTCTACACCTGGCTCTTAGCAGTTCACCCATCCAGGAGCCTTAGAAATGACTTCAGGGCCAACAGACCCAGAGAGTAAGGCTGTCTGGTGGTCTCCTTTCTGGCAAGCTGTTTTCCAGAACTTTCTCAAGCCTTCAAAGCTCTTTCTCCAGTTCCTGCAGCATCTTGTGTATCCAGCTGCTGCTGCTGCTGTCATGTTGTCACACTTCATGCCACAGGATTTAACAATGCAGAGCCACACTGTTCCGCCCTCCTGTTCATAGAGAGAACATTACCCTTTCTTTCCCACCTGCAGTGAAGATTCATGAGAAAGTTCCTAATCTCATAAAGCTTAGCAAAGAGAAAAGGTGTCTGAGGAACCAGGAAATGAAAGAGTAAACTAATCATAATCCTCTGGAATTAGTTTGTGTACCTCTATTGCTTAGCTTTGGCCTGTAATTATCAATACTAAATTTTATGGAATAATTTTGCACAAAGACATCTTCAAGAACAAGGGAACGGCCCAGCAGTTTATTTTCTTAAAAATCATACTTACAAAATTGCAAGAAAACATCAGTGTAGCCCTCCCCATTTTAGTATTTTAGACCCAACCATGAGGTCTATAACATGGTGAAGTCATATCAAATCCCAAGGCTTATAAGTAAAATATACAAGGCTTCCCGCCTCCAGCGAGCCAAGAACAATCATCCCATTGACCAACTCGCGCAGGCTGACGCTGAAGACGAGCCAAACTTCTCTTGCTGGCACAGACACTGAAGCCAGAGGTGATGGCAGGCTGCGGGGCCTGTAGCTAGTCCTCGGCTGGCCCATCCAGGATGCATTTAAAGGAGAAAGGAGAAAACTTGTAACCAGCCCCGACGTAGAACTTGTTCTGGAACTCTACCCTGGGGAGGGTTGGGGGGCAAGAAGAAGTGAGATTAAACACATAAACTAGAGGCTGGCAGCCAAAGGGAAGAAGCAGAACATTTATAAAATCAAGCTGGGGGGTAGGAAGGCACTCAGGCTGGTGGCCTCCACAGGGATCCTCTGATCCTTAAAACCCTTCTCTTGCCTCCCGCTTACACCTTTCCCTGCCTCTCCCACCCTACTTCCTCCAGGCGTCTGCTACCCCCGCTGAGAGCACGGCGGAGCCACCCTCCCCACGGCTCCCATAAGCCAAGAAGCCCTCGCGGGGCAGCCTTGTCTCACAAGCCAGGGACAAGAAAATGTCTCCCCGGGGTGAGACGTGGTTTGTCTTCTCCATCCTGATCTTAATTAACCACGGGGCTTACGCTATTGCAGAATACCCAGAACCTTAACTTAACGTTCTGATGACTTCCATCATGGATACATGTATGATCCTTTATGCTTGAGGATGTAGCAGAATTCATTTCCTCAATGACAGGGGGGAGAGGCGATGTTACAACCTGAAGGGGGGATGCTGTGATTCTGTCTGCTCAATACATGGAGTGTCAATACTTTTCTTTATGAACGGCGGGCACAGAGGGAGGTAGAAAGCATCAGTGAAAGCTGAAGACAGTCTGTGGGGTATGAGGGTGCACACACACTCTCAAGATTCTGGACTAAGAGATGACTCGGAGGAAAAGCAGAAGCTTCAACAAATGTTTTCATATTTATAAACCTAGTGATGGCTGATAGTCTGCGGACACATCTGTGAATGTCAAGGGCTCCTGTGAGTGCCTTCCTCCTTCCAGGTACCCTCCTTCTGTTTCCACTTTGTACAGGGCAGGAGGCTCTACCATTGGTTTAATTCCTGCACTCAGCAACAAGGGCCAAATGTCCCAGATTTGCTCAGCGTGCCTCTGTGAGCCTCTCTGATGTGTCATCTTACCAGTAGTTGGAGGTGTCCCTTATCTTGAAGCCAGTTGTAATGTAACAAGCTAACATTTAAAAGAGAATGAGTAAATGGGAACTAACATTTAGTATAGGGTGGCCATTATATATGTATACACACACACACACCCCCCATGCACATGCACATACACGTGCACACACACACATGCGCACTCACACATGCATGCACACACATACACACGCATGTGCACACACGTGGGTGTACACAAGCACACACACATGCACGCACACATACACACATGTGTGCACACACACAGGCACACACACAAATACACATACATCATCATGTAATATTACACCAACAGGTGACTGAACCAGGTCAGGGTCTGAAGCCAGCTGGCGGGTCCCGCGGCTCACCCGCTCTCTAGGGCACACGGAGCCTCTGTGGGGCAGCCTTACTCACCAGTGCAGTCGCAGGGCGTGCAGGAACGCAGAGAGACCCTCCATGATCAGAAGGATGGCTACCGTCAGCACAGCAAATATGGTAAAAATGATGAAGACCCCAATGAGTCCTCCCCAGCCTCGCAAACGAAGGCCAATGTTCATCACCATGGTCCAGAGCACCTCCGACAGTTCTGTGAGAACAGGAGAAACATTCTCAACCACAGGGTTCATCTTTCCATACTCTATTCCTGGGTCTGTACACCCTAGGATCCCAAATCTCAGCTCTCGGGTGGAGAACAGGCACGTGTGCCCTAGGGCACCTGTAGGAGATTGTCAACGGCAGCTTTGCTCATGATGGAGGGGTTTCTGGTAGCCTGTTATTCACCAATGAAAGTGAGCAAACTATAGCTACCAGCAGCAACATGAGTAAATGCCAGTAACATCATGGTACGCCACAGAAGCAAAACACAAAAGAATACATATAATATGATTTGATATGGACTGAATGTTTGTGCCTTCCCCACCCATCAAAGTCATATGTTGAAGCCCTACCCACCAAAGTGATGGTATTTGGAGAAGGGGTCTTTGGAAGGTGATTAGGGTTTGATGAGGTCATGAGGGTGGGGCCCTCATGATGGGATTAGTGCCCTTGTAAGAAGAGACATCAGAGAGCTATCTTTACATTGTTGGGTTGAGACTTGAGGTTACCCAACCGAAAGGTCACAGTGGCATGGCCCAGAGAGATCAAGCCCTGTCACTTGCACGTGGCCACCGGGACATGATGAGAAGAGACACATGTGGGAGCACAAGAAAGAGCACCTGTGTCTGTACTGTGCTCCCTGCCCCCGAGCTCTGGCTTTTGGCTGGAGTAACACAGGGTCCTTCATGGTGGGAACAGCTTCACCTCCATCTACTTATACCCCTACCCACTCCTCTGCGCTCTGAGTCAGCACGGACTCTTTGCCTCTACATTTACTAAATTATTGAAATAAAAACTGAAAGCAATTAGAACTGCACCATGCTGTGAAACTCATGTGGCTTCTCTTCCCCATGGCCCTTAGATACGGCAAAATCAGTTTCCCCGAGAGCTGCTTTCCTCTGCTCCGGGTGCCAACGGGGAAGGGGCTAACAGTCATACCATCTATTTCCACAGGGCTTTTCAGTGAAGACTTCTCATTCACAGTAGCTCATGGGAGCCTCCCCCCACACCTGTGGGAAGGCAGGTGCTTAATTTCTAATGTTTCACTTTCACCTCCTCCTTGTACCCCCATCTTGGTGATTTTTTAAAAAACATTTTATTTATTTATTTGACAGAGAGAGAGAGCACAAGCAGGGGGAATGGGAGAGGGAGAAGCAGGCTTCCTGCTGAGCAGGGAGCCCGATGCGGGGCTTGATCCCAGGACGCTGGGACCATGACCTGAGCCGAAGGCAGACACTTAACTGACTGAGCCACCCAGGTGCCCCCATCTTGATTTTTGAAGCATGTGTCCAAATACAGGCTCCCTCAACTTAGGTCTTAACATGGCACCAATGAACACAATATGCTAGAGTAGTAAATTTCCACTGTTTTAAGCTGCTGAGATCTGGGGGTGGTTGTTACTGCAGCACATTCTAGCCCAGCCTGACTAATACAGCAGGCTAACTATGAGAACCACACAGGAAAGTCAAGGCACACACAGGTTAAGCTGCTGCCTGAGTTACTGAGCTCAAAGTGGTAGAACAGAAACTAGAACAGAATCAGTATTTGTTGTCATTCTACCAAACTACCTCTTCAAGCAAGTTTGTTAGCATGAAGCAGAAGGTATCCATGGGAACTGTATGTCTCAAGAAGTTGCCAGAAATACCCAATGGGTGGACCATGCCAGGCAGCTGTGAACCACATGGATTTTTTGGAGTCAAATTACATCCTCAGTGAGCATGGGCTGGCCAGAGGAGACCTTCCTGCTCTATCTAGCTGTGACCTGAGCCCTTTAAACCACACCTGAGATCAGAGCTAAAGGCAGACATCAACACCACTGACCACACAAGCTCAGAGATCCGCTTTGGGTCCCTGGATAACCACTTCACATGAGTGCATGTCAACGCACAAGTAAACATGTGTGGGTGCTCGTGGGTGTCTGTGTGCAGATACTTACAGGCTGGATGTATGCATCCAAGCACCTGTGTGCATGCAGAAGTGTGTTTGTGTGTATGTGTGGGAGCTGATGCAAGGAAATGAACACGGCCTGAGCAGTGAAGACTAATGGTGAGCGCTTGCATTTCTGCTACAAATCAATAAGCAGGCTCACTTTCATTGCTTTGGTTTCTATCCATCAAGCACACACTTCGGCCTGGTTTCTCAGTTCCACGCATTGTGCTCAGTGTGGGAACACAGGGATAGAAGACAGGGACCTTGCTTTCAGGAGCTCACAGTCTAGTAGGGAGAAAGGCTAATCACAACAGAATTGTAATCACTGCTAGGATGGGGCACTCCCAGAACTCAGGGAAAGGGCACCTTCTAGACCGGGGACCAGGGAGGAAGATTCCCAGGGGAGGTGCCATCTGAGTGAGTTCTGAAGGAGGAATTAGCTACCAGTGAGGAGAAAGTTAAAGAAGAGAGGAATAGGGGCGCCTGGGTGGCTCAGTAGGTTAAGCATCTGACTCTTGATCTTAACTCAGGTCTTGATCTCAGGGTCATGAGTTCAAGTCCCACACTGGGCTCCACACTGGGCATGTAGCCTACTTAAAAAAGAGAGAGAGAGGAATATTTCAAGCAAGTGGGCTGCAGGGCAAACACACAGAAGGGCCCAGAGAGTGTGGCAGCTTCAGGAGCCTCGGCGCAGGTCCTTGTGGCCACTGCCTCCTTAGAAGAGGAAGGTAGGACAGTCAGAGCCCAAGAAACTGGAGACATGAAGCCTGCAGCTGGTGTCAGAGTGACGAGCCCAAGAGCCAAGAAATGCAGGCGGCCTCTAGAAACAAGAAATGGTGTCAAGGAAATGGATTCTCCCCTAGAGCCTCTAGAAGACGCCCAGCCCTGCTGAGACGTTGGTTCTAGGACTCCTGAACTGTAAGATAGTAAATGCGTATTGTCTTAAGCTGCTAAGTTTGTGGTAATTCGTTACAGCAGTAATGGGGGACTGGTACAGAGGGTAACCGCTCTGAGAATATAAAGTCAGGCCTACGGGAAAAAAGTCACATCTTCCTAAGAAAGAAGAACCAGAAATAACCCAAGAAGGCACTTCTCCCAACAAGTACTTTGATTCTGTTTCCCAGGGGAGCTCTGACTGTGACCCTGAGGGCCACTCACTCACGTGCATGAGCCAGGCTGAGGGCCCAGAGCCGGAGGTAAGAGGCTGTGTTTGAAATGCAGCCCAGGCAATACTCAATCGTGTGGATGGCTTGATGCACAAAGATGTCTCCAAAATTGAACTGAAAGAGAGAGTTCTTTATTCTAATTTCATTAAGAATTTCCTCCATGGAAGGTATCACGAATGAGACACAGATGAATAAAACATGAGCTCCACCGTAAGTCGCTTCCAGTTGAACTAGGGGAAAACAAATATTAACATACTCGTAGGAAGAGAACTAGCAGCACAAAGTAGGAGATATAATATGTGTGCAGTAACATTTCCCAGAAATAGTTGAAAAAAGTTCAGAGAAGAGAGAACAGTTGGTAAGGCGTCACAGGAGGCAGATGGGCGCTGAAGGAGGGGGAAGCATCCGGAAGTAAAAGATAAGCAAGACCATTCGTTCTGAAGGAAATGACTCCTGCTAAGGAAAAGGCTGGGAACATTGGGAAGGCAAGTTCTCGAGGAAAACAGTTTGGCTGGAAGTGGGAGCTTGTTTGGTGAGGAGTAGAAAGGAGAGACCAGGTGCTGAAGTTTCAGGAAAGGGCAGATTTGAGAAAATAACCTGGAGTCAATGAGGAACCATAAAAAGCATCTGAGTAGAAAGTGGCCGGCGGGGCGGGGGGCAGGGGCTACATAAAGAAGTATTGGGGGGAAGATTAATCTGGTGACAAAATGGACCAGCAAGGGCAAAGCCGGTAAGCAAAAGAGCCTGTTTGTTGATTGCCTTAGGGGTGGGGAGGATGAAACAGCACAAAGACAGCGATAGCCCATTGTTGGCCTCATGCACTCTGATGCTGTGGGGACAACCATCTGACTGGCACCATCCCAGCCCTCGCGTGGCTCACAGTCTGGTGGGGACAACGTGCGCAGAAAGTACAATAATCAAGAATCAGCAGTACGGTGGGGACACAGAAGGGCCATTCACCCAGGAGGGGCCAGGATCGTACAGGGCTCTGAGGCACCTGAGTCTGAGCAGCTAAAAGAATGGCATTGATAGAAATGGAAAATTGGAGAAGGAGATCAGTTGATATACTCAGATGTGTTGCATTTCAGGTGACAGCCGGCCACACAAGTAGCATCTCTCAGCACCCAGTAGTAGAGGCAGGATAGGCTCAGAAGAAAAGTCTGGGCTGGAAATGGGACACCTAGGACCTCACCTGTGGGAGGAGCAACGGTGGGAGGGAAGTGGACTGGGAAGATAGACAAGGGAAAGAGCACAGAAAGAAGAACTCCTAGGCTTGGAACACATCTTCATTTGGAGGTGAGAAAGAACAAAACTGATGATGCAAAGAAAAGGTCAAAAGGCCAGGAGGAGTCACAGGGCTATGGTCAAGGTTGCCGAGAAACCCGGGAAGGAATGGGGGCTGTGGTCACCCATGTCAGGAGCCATGGAGAGCAGACAGGAACCAATGTCTCTGATTCAGCAAGGAAAAGAGCTGGGAGGAAGTGAAGGACAGGGATGGGCAGAGAGGGAGAGAGTGGAGAGACAGAGGCAAGGTGAAGGAGGGATGTGTAGTGAAGCATTAACCCCACCAAGGAGAGGGCTGGCTTTGTCCTGGCTCCTGGGAGGCAAGCCCTAAACTCCTCACATCTCCCGCATGAAAGAACTGTCTTTGTTATTCATGGTAGCCCCTGGGACCACATCTGATCCTTTCTGTGGTTGGAAGTTTGAGACCAGGAGCCAAGTGATTACAGTCCAATCTCCAGGGAGCAGATGGGGCTGGAGACCGAGTACAACCACTGGGCTGCCAGTCTATGGAATGAAACGCCAATCAAACTTTGGACACTGGAGCGCAGGTGAGCTTCCTGGGCTGACAAGGCTGTGTGCATAGTGCCACATGCTGGGAGATGAATGCCTCCCTAAGGACACAGAATTCTGGAATTTGGGACACCTGGGTGGCTCAGTTGGTTGAGCATCTGCCTTTGGCTCAGGTCATGGTCCTGGGATCGAGCCCTGAATCAGGTTCCCTGCTCGGTGGGGAGTCTGCTTCTCCCTCTCCCTCTGCCGCTCCCCCCTGCTTGTGCACTCTCTCTCTCTCTCTCATTCTCTCTTCAAAAAAAAAAAGAATTCTGGAATTTGGAACCCTCCCAGAGTTGGATTCTGCCTATGTGCCTTTTCCTCTGGCGGCTTCTGATTTCTATACTTGTGCTACAATAAAACCCCAATTGTAAGGATCGTACTTTACTGAGTTCTCTAAGTCGTTCTACGGATTATTGGCCCTGAGGGAATGTGAGGGACCCTGAATTTGTAACTGAATGATCTGAAGAGAGGGTGGTCCTGGGATCCCCAAACCTGTGGCTAGTGTCAGAAGTCTTGGGCGGACTTGGCAGTCTGGAGAGCTGTGCCCTTAACCCTGAGTTTGGCCAACACCCGGTGTGGAGAGAGGTCAGAGAGGACTTTGAGGGGACAAAGTAATCAAGCCTGTGTTTGCTTTGCCACAGGAGCCCACACATGATTGCACTCAGGGGAAGGGACCTACGAATGGCGCCTCAAGTCACCCAAACAAAGGCAGCCCGTTCACTGCAGAAGCAGCTGGGGAACCCTGACTGGGCAAATCCTGAGGGCAGGAGAACAGAGGAGAGAGATTGTCCTGGACAGGCTGGGACAGGATGAGTCAGATGATGTGTGGGCTGGATTCTAAAACATCCCAGCAGGTCTGACAGACTCAGTAATATTAATAGCCACTAATATGGGCTACTCTCTGTACCTGGAATCTTGTCGGAAACATTTGATCCAGATTTTTCATTAATTCTAATTGGCCATCCATTAGTTTAAATGGTATTTTTTTTTTTTTTTTTTTTTTTAGTCATTACCACCACAAAGGGAGCTTCTTCTAGCCTCCCTCAGGCTTCACAAGAACCCTGCCCCACTCCAGGATTAGAACAGAACTCCAGTTAAAACCCCCAGCCAGTTGAGGCTTATCGGGTGTTTTAGTGATGGGATAAAAACAGCCACCTGCTTCATCTGGGAAAATGTGGCACATTCCTGAGGGAGAGTGACTGCCCGTGGACAGAAATGGGCAGGGAGGGAGGAGGAAAGAGAACAATTCCTGAATTCACAGGAGAAGCAGATAATGTTACAAAGATAGGTCAGCGAAGTCCCAACAGAGCCAGGGTGGGGACAGGAGAACAAAGAGGGGAAGGCTGCCGGGCAAGCTCGTGTCCGGGAGGGGGGCTGGGAGTAAATAACCCGCCTTTGACTTCAACAACAGGGCTAGATTTGGGCTCGGCTCTTGGTTTGAGGGGCACTGATTGGACAGCTCCTAATAAATGTAGCTGACTGCCAAGGGCACGGTTTGGGGTCAAGGAGGCCTCACTAACATCAAGGACCTCCTATGCCAATAGATCTCACAGAGACAGCAGCACCTGGGTTAAAATGTTAAAACACTCCTAGATTGGTTGGTGAGAAGTTGTTGTTCTTTTCTATTTTTTTTTTTAAGATTTATTTATTTTAGAGAGAGACAGTGAGCTAGAGACAGGGCAGAGGGAGAGATCTCTTGACCCTGAGATCATGACCTGAGCTGAAATCAAGAGTTGGACACTTAACTGACCGAGCCCCCCAGGCACCCCGAGTAGCTGTTGTTCTGACCCTATAGGCACTCCCCCTCCCTTGCGACCTCCCCAACATCCCACGACTCCTCAGCTACAGGGCTGCCACCAGCACGGTCCTCCTGACCCTCCCAGATCCACCACCCAAGTCCTTTCTGATGGGCTGGTGGCCATGCCCTACTGGCTGGTAAATATTTGACAATCATCCTTGATGAGATCCCACATCTAGAATCTGTACAGACTGGGGAGTCTTTGTCAACTACCGAGTCCCACATACCTCTTCTTCATGGTCATCCTGAGCCCCATGGGCACCTGCAGAAGCCCTCTGGCCAGCACTCATGGAAGGGCTGGAGTTGTCACCTTCAGTGTCCTCTGTGGCTTCTTCTTGGATCCTGGAGGCCTGCAGCTGTCAGCAAGCAAGGAAGTGAAGCACTAAATTCACCCTTAGAATTAGAATTACTAATTTTTTTTTTTTAAGATTTTATTTATTTATTTGAGACAGAGAGAATGAGAGAGAGAGAGCACATGAGAGGGGGGAGGGT